AGCCCATCGACTACGGTCGATCTATGTTATTTGCATCTTCGGTCCCACCTATGAACAAATCCCGCTCAGGTCTTCATGAAACCACTGGATTTTGGAGAATATTGTGATTTTATGGGGACGGAAAGTATCTAAAATATCTTGAAAGGTGCCTGTTCTATATAGCTCGTCCGTTTCTATCGATTTGTGTTAGATTCAGCGTTTGGTATCAGGTGGGAGCGCATACGGACCAGCTGTGCGTGAAACCCCTGGATGTTCGAGTATATGGTGGTTTTAGATTGATGGAAAGTACCTAAACTATCCTGAAAGGCACCTATGCGATAGAGCTCGTCGCGTTCTATGGATTTGTGTTATTTTCAGCTTTTAAGCCCCGCTTAAAGCCAGCACCACTCAGATCTTCTTGAAACCGCTGGATATTGGAGTGTCTCGGGTTTTTGTGGGCATGCAAAGTACCTAAAGTATCTTGAAAGGTGCTTACTGGATAGAGCTCATCGAGTTCTATCGCTCCATGTTATTTTCAGCTTTTGTTCCCAGCGAGTACTGAATTCCTTTTGATGTCTTCATGAAACCACTGGATTTTGCACTATATTCGAATTTTAGGTGGATACAACGGATCTAAAACATCTTCAAAGGTGCCAATGCGATAGAGCTTGCCGAGTTCTATCAAACTATGTAATTTGTAGCTTTTGGTCCCCGCTACGAAGGAATCTGGGCCAGGTTTTCATGAAACCACTTTATTTTGGAGTAGATTGGCATTTTAGCTGGATGGAAATTGCCTAAAATGTATTGAAAGCTGCCTATTCATAGAGCTCGTCGATTTATATCGTTCTATGTTATATACAGGTTTTGATACCAGAAGGGAGCCAATCTCGTTCATGTCTTTATGAAACAAGTGGATTTTGGAGTGTATTGGGATTTTATGGGGATGGAAAGTATCTAAAATATCTTGAAAGGCGCCTATTCGATCGAGCTAGTCGCGTTCTATCGATCTGCGTTATTTTCAGCTTTTAATCTCAGCTTGCAATGAGTCCCGCTCAGTTCTTCTTGGAACCACTGGATTTTGGAGTGTCTTGGGTTTTTGTGGGATGGAAAGTACCTAAAATATCTTGAAATGTGCCTAATCGGTAGACCTCGCCAAGTTCTATCGATCCATGTTATTTTCAGGTTTTGGTCCCGGAGAGGAGTCAATTTCTTTCCGGTCTTCATTAAAGCACTGGATTCTGGAGTGTATTGCGATTTTAAAGGGATGCAAAGTACCTAAAGTATCTTGAAAGATGCCTATTCGGTGGATCTCATCGAGTTCTATCGATCCATGTTATTTTCAGGTTTTGGTCCCGGAGAGGAGTGAAATTCGTTCAGGTCTACATGACGTCCCTGGATTTTGGAGTGTATTGGGATTTTATGGGGATGGAAAGTACCTAAAATATTTTGAAAGGTGCCTATTCGATCGATCTCGTCGCGTTCTATCGATCGGTGTTATTTTCAGATTTTAATCCCAGCTTGACGTGAGTCCCGCTGAAATCTTCTTGGAACCACTGGATTTTGGAGTGTATTGGGATTTTGTGGGGATGGAAAGTACCGAAAATATCTTGAAAGGTGCCTATTCGGTAGAGCTCGTCGAGTTCTATCGATCGATGTTGTTTTCAGGTTTGGGTTCCAGCGAGGAGTGAATCTCGTTCCGGTGTTCATTAAATCACTGGAGTTTGGAGTGTCTTGGGATTTTATGGCGATGCAAAGTGCCTAAAATATCTTGGAAGATGCCTATTTGGTGGAGCTCATCGAGTTCTATCGAACCATATTATTTTCAGGTTTGGGTCCCGGCGAGGTGTGAATCTCGTTCAGGTCTTCATGAAGTCACTGGATTTTGGAATGTGTTGGGGTTTTATGGGGATGGAAAGTACCTAAACTATCTTGAAAGGTGCCTATTCGATCGAGCTCGTCGCCTTCTATCGATCCATGTGATTTTCAGTTTTTGGTCCCGGCGAGAAGTGAATCTCGTTCTGGTCTTCATGAAGTCACTGGATTTTGGAGTTTATTGAGATTTTATGTGGATGGAACGTACCTGAAATTTGTTGAAAGGTGCCTAGTCGGTAAAGGTCGTCGAGTTCTATCGATCCATGTTATTTTCAGGTTTTGGTCCCATTGAGGAGTGAGTGGCGTTCCGGTCTTCATTAAACCACTGGATTTTGGAGTGTATTGGGATTTTAGATGCATGGAAAGTTCGTAAAATACCTTGAAAGATGCCTATTCGGTAGAGCTCGTCGAGGTGTATCAATCGGTTTTTTTTGAGCTTGTGGTCCGAGCTGGTTGAGAATCCCGAAGCGGTGTTTCATTGAAAAACCCAGGTTTTGTGGATATAGGCGATTTTTTGGAAGGATGGAAGCATTTCCAGTGTGTTGGAAGGTGTCCATAGCATAGTGGTCGTGGAGTTCTATCGGTTTGTGCGGTTTTCAGTTTTTGGTCGTTGTCAGGGGGAGTCGCGGCGCACGGGAAAAAAAAAGGATTTTTTTGCGCATTTTTTCATAGTATTTTAGGTTTTTCTCCCGTTTGGAATGGTTTTGGAGAAAAAGTGACTAGTGCATTGTATAGAGCTCGTGAAGCTCTGCCTTGGTCCGCAGAGTTTAGGCTTTGGTCCCAGCCGTGAGCGAATCCAGATGCGAAAATGCGAATCCAGGCCCAAGATATCCTACGTCTTATTTTGTGTATTAAAACAAGTTAGACATAAACAAGTACCCCAATCATCAGCGCTTGGCGTCAGCACATAATCAGGAACATAACGTGTAAATGTGGAATAGGGACAAGTATTATTAATTTCGGATATAAATCGTTGATGAATAGTCGGGAAAATTTCAACTCGTCACGATTTTTATTTTCTGGCTTACGTAACGAATAGACAGTACGAAAGCCCATAACAGAGCTTTCATAACGACAGAATCAGTGCTTTTGTAACAAAAAATCAGAGGTTTGTAACAAATTTTACAGGGCGATCATAACGGGTGTTTTGATGTGTACCATTACATAGCTTTCGTAACGAAAGGCATGTAATTTTTGCAAACTAAGTCCAGCTATCATCCTCATTCTCGTTACGAAATCCCTGTTGCTTCGTTGCGAAAGCTCTGCAACTGTTACGAACTCCGTGTATTAATCCTTACGATTGCTCTGTAAATTTCGTTACGAAATCCCTGTATTTTTGGATATCCCTATTTTTGGTGTTACGAAAGGTCTGATTTTTGCTGTTTGTTCAAGTCGTCACCTGACGAGTTGAAAGTTTCTCGAATAGTCGATAAATGATTTAACATGTATCGAATCTGTTTTCCATGTAATGGTTTGTTTTTATCAGGTGCTTGTTTAGTAACATCATCTTGATATAAAAATTCTTCTATATCTTCCAGGAGTGTTGATGGCGTATTGGATGGTGGATTATAATTCTTAGATAAATTTACACCTAATCTTTTTCTCAATTTTGAAATAGAACCACGAGGTCGATTCTTTTTTTTTATTAAGTAATCGTTTAGTTGCACGTTTCTTGGCTGGTGGACTAACATTATTGGTAAACAACTTTGCTGTTGACATAATTGATGTTGTATCAACAGTATTGATTTTTTCTAAATGTTGTTGAGATAATAATCTTTTCATCTTCAGATTCTCTTTCTGTAATTGTTGGATCTTATCTAGCAGTTTTTCATTTTCATTTTTCAACTTTCTGGTATTGGCTCGACGACGTTTAATACCTTCAGCCTTTCGTGAGTCCGGTTTAGTTGCTGGTGATGCAAGAGCAATTGTTGCTTCTCTCTGAACTTCTTTTTTCGTTGTCGACACTTTCACTGTCTTGCATTTTGTTTTGCTTTGAATTCACGATCAAACATTTTTGATATTGTTCGCCTGAATTGAAGTTTTCGACGATATTTCAGGCCATAACGTTGAGTGTTACTCTTATGACGAGAAACCATAGTTTATCTAGAAATAGTGGATAAGACAGTGTAATCTATTCTGAATTATATTTAGTTTTTACGTAGATATACTCTTAAAATTGAAAATAAGCGAACAATCAGCGCATATACATAAGCATTAAAGTTTTGCTGTGATTTTACCAATTTGTCAAGTTTAAACTAGAGTCAATTCAGATGTGTTTTGATAGTTCTTTAAATACGATACTAAGTGGTGTATAAATTATTTGTCCCAGTCTTATGTGTGAGGTAATTATGTGCATAACGATCTCGTGTGACATATTTACAATATTTTTCCTCTTTCTCACGATAGACAAGATTTCTGACTTTGATATTTTAACCAATAGTTGAGCACAATGGGTGGATAAAATGATCAAAGTTTCGTCGCAATCTGCCCTAGTATAAGAGAGTTATGTTCCAAACAAATCGAAAAATTTTTCGTGGCATTTTGTGTGAGAACTGAATTTTCAAATTTCATTTCATATTTTTCCTCAACAAGAAGCAGCATACTTCTCTCATTGTCTTTGGCCGTTTCATATGCAGCCAACTGACTTTCATTTGACACCAACCCGATCAATTTCAGACGGGTCATTGCGTTCCAAAATGGATTTTAATCTCGCGTGACAGAAAATTGAGGGTTGTCTATACCCATGGTATTTCGAGAAAACTATAATAAAAAACGCGTCGAAAGAACCAATGAGTTTTATATCCAAGAAGTGTAGACTGTATATTATAAATATCATGAACTGTCAAAATTCAAATGACAAATAACGAATCGGCCATACGATTTTTTGTAAAAAAGATGGCAGCAGATATCGAACTTTTGAGCCTTGTGCAGCCAATATCTCAGGACTTATTCAAGATAACCTTGTGATTTTTTGTGTGGTAGTGAGGCCTTCTAAGTAAAAAATATGTTAAAAAAAATCACAAGGATTGGTTGAGTAGAACTCGAGATATTGAAATTTTACGTTCAAGAATACTACGGTACAATAAAGTTGCAATTAACCCATATGTAGCAATGAAGCTGAGTTCATTGAACTATGGCTTATCATAGGATTAATAGAAATATAAATTGTCATCACCATTATTCATAACACTATTCGACATATATTCCACATTTTCACTATCATCATTATTGTTATTGTCGTCATCGTCATCATTATTGGTTTTATTCTTACCCCTAAAATCGTGGTGATTCGCATCAAAATATATCTTATACAAGTCAACTTGGAATTGAACAAGTTGTATTATTGTTCGTTGATAATTCTCAATAATATTCATTAACAGACTAACAGGTAATTCAGATTGTTTCATGGATAATGAATTTTGTCCTTGTGCTGGTTGTTGACTACCATCAAGAAAAATTTTCTTGTCATCTTCTATGTTTTTAGCATTTCTGGCAACTACTGCTGAAATTCTCATGAAAGAATTCTTTCTGGCTTCATTGCACACTTGTTCTATTAATAGTAGTAATGGATTTTTCAAATTTATTGAGTCCATCGACAATTGCGACATTGTGCTATCAGTTTTATCATTATCCTTCGATCGTATTGAATGAGTAGTCACATCGTCTTTATCACGATTTAACGTTCATGATTCAGTATCATTCTTATTTTTCTTAGCTTGTTGTGCATTCATAGTTGCTCGTCAAATATTATCTGCTAGCTCAATCTAGAAGAGATAAAATAAGAATCTCATCTTCGTTGAAAAACTTGTTAGTGCGGTCTCTTCTGGCGCCAAAGTGTGGAACTCTCGAACTGTGGCTGCTATAAATTTTTGATATACTGTCGGAGCTTTTAAAATAATCTATTGTTAGAAAATGTCAAATAAATGAATAGTTCAAAATCATAACAGTGTTTATTCTTGATAGACGCGCTCGGAAATTTTATCATTTGGAAAATGTTCACATTTATAATTACTCTTCTACCAATTTATTTGATTCATTTAATATCGTTATAGTGTAAAAACTTATTTGTATTATCAGATACATCTTCAATTCATAGCTTCTTTGCTCGTAATGATAACACATCTGCGATACATGCTATAGAAAGCGGCAAATATAATTCTACTCTTCGTTTCGTCGATTCACCCACTATATTAGCCTGCTATAGAGATTGATTTTATCACTCAGTAAGTTATCCCACACACCATTCTTTCTCTCGATGAGTTCTGACATGTACTACTGAGTTTGCTTGAAATTAGAATACAATCAGTTTAGATTTTTCTATGTTTGTCCGAATCTGACTCTACTAGATCAAAAAGACGACCGCTCTGTTGCTTAAAACCTACAATAAGATCCTTTCGATGCATGAAAAGCCCAAAACTGCACTATTTAGACTAAACAGTTAGAATCTACAGAGCTTTAGAATGATCTAAGCACTGATATTACTTACGCGCCATTTCTCATTGCTATGAAAACATATCCAATGATTTTTGACTTCTTCGTTCCACGGTTGCTAGGGCCTGCGGAGATTACTAATGTCTGTAATGGGGGCCTACGGAGACGGGTAGCCGAAAAAACCTCGATTTAAAACTTACACTCACTATTTTCTTCGAAAATATATGTGAGTTCTTCAAAAAAAAAACGAACAAATCAACTTTTTTTGTGTATGAAGTAAATGACCAGATTCTTACTTGTACTGAATTGGATTTTAAATTATAGAATCTTTTAATAAATGAACATCATTTGCATAGATGAATAAGAGATTGTTTTGTGTTTCATATCAGCCTGTAATCGTTGTTGCTGATCTTCTTGTACAAATGTAAAAATAAAGGCTCTTAAAAGAGTCATATCGGTGTTAGATAAAGTTGATAGTTAGTGTTGTTCTTGATGTTGCACATAGTCGAATTACCATCTTGTCCTCCAGCGTCATCTATTTTTTCTCTTGATAATTTCTGTTTGTATTGTGTCTTCTTTTTGATTGGTTCTAAGCTATTAGATATGATTGGTAACTACATTTCGTCAACGTAGTGATGTTTATTGATCGAGTTGTTTACAGTTGAATATATAGCTTCTTTAATTCTTCTTTTTTTGCAGTCTGTTTCTTTTTCTAGAACTATTGCTGATACAGTGTTAAATTTACATCGGTGTTTATTCTTGTGAGTGTGCATTACCATTTCAGAATTCGATTGTTTATCATTTTATCTAATTAATTTTTCATGCTGTTTAATACGTTTCATTAATCTTACTTTTGTTTTACCAACATACATTGCTCCACTTTCGCATTCAATTTGATATATGACTGAGTTTATTTTTGTTTCTATTGATGAATTTATATATGTGCGTAATTTATTTGGACATGAGTAAAATAAGTTAATATGGAGTTTCTTTAATTTTCTTTATAAAATTTCTGTTCCAGATTTATATGGTATGGTGATTGTATATTTCATTTCTGCAGTATCTCTTTTTGGTAGTGATTTTTGAGGGTTATTCGTTGATAATGTAAATTTTATTAGTTGATGAATTTCTTTTTCTGGATAATCAGATCTTTTAAGAATTTCTACAAGCTTTTCTATGCCTTCTTTTTATTCTAGTAGTTTACTAACAAATTTTGATGTATTATTTACAGAATGACTAATTGTTTTTCTTAATGCTTTTCTTAATGTTAATATGTATTGGAACAATTGGGACATTATCGTATTTCTTGTGCATGTTATTAATCTCATTGGGTAATTTATTTGATGTATTTTTCGTTGTCCTTGGATTTTGCGTAAGTCTTCTATTGAATTGAATTCCATCTTCATTTTTGTTTTATTTTGTTTTGTTTGCATAATTTTTCTGTTAATTCGGAAATACTATTATTAATTGTATTAATGGGATTTTGATTTTTTCCACGTTCAAAGAAATGTTCATATTAATTAATTACTGCTTTTTAAATATATGCGGCTGTTGTTAATAATGCCTTTTCCGTATTAGTTGTATATTCAACTAAATTCATAGTCTTTCGTGTTAAAATAAATTTTAGACATTTTTCTAATATTTTAAGTTGTTGTTGGTTTAAACTTGTAGATGATATATTTATTGTTTGTTGGTTTTTGTTTTTAACATTATTTATGTTGTTTTTCTGTAGATTTGGTTTTCCTTAGTCAATGTTTTAAATTTTTCTTATTATTATTTCTTTTTGGTTTATCTATTGGAGACCTAATTAGTTGATGATTTCTGTATGGTTAAATATCTTTCATGTAACTATTCAGTATAGTTTTTGGAGTATTTATTTCTATGTTATATAATCTGAGCCGTTTATATTTCCAATGTAATGTGTTATTTCTTATTTTTATCATTGTACTGTATAAAATTAATGTTTTTATAATAATTGGTGTTATTTTTAATATAAAACCTTTTGGTATTATGTTGTGATCTTTACATAGTTTTAAAAAATTGATATGTTTTTCAATTTTTGTTTTTATTTTTTTGTAAATGTTTGGCTATCGTTGTTGTTCTCTCTCCGTAGAGGTTTTTGTAATTAATAATGTTGGGGAAGGTCATTATAAATAGTTTTTCAATAATTGTTTCTCTTCTTGTTTTTTATTCATTGTATGTTGTTAAAAACTAATGTAGGAATTAATTTAATTGATCAATTTTAATTTATATTTATTAATTTTAATATAATAATTAGATGAACTGAAGAAGGAGGCAGTAGCTCTCTGAAACGTTTTCATACATTAAAATTAATAAATATAAATTAAAATTGATCAATTAACTTAATTCAAATATTAATTTTAAACAACATATAATAAATTAAAAACACGAAGAAAAACAATTATTCAAAAACTATTTATAATGACCTTCCTCAACGTTATTAAATAGATCAACTATGTATGCAGAAATGATCAGAATCGTACAATCACATCTCTCAAAAGTGAAATTTCAAATTCCTATATCGCTAGAATTTGCATGTTCTGTAGTTTGGCTCTTATATGGATATCAACATGACTATGGTCGTAGCGCGAAAGAGTCGAAGCAATTGCTTGTTTTTCCTGTCTTCTTTATCTGTTCTACCTGCGTATATACGTAAAAACACGTGCTCTCCTTCATGTTTGATTCATTGTCTCATGGACGTCGTAATGTGCTTTTCATTCTTTTTACACCGACAACCATGAGAGCATCACGTTAGCTTCGCAAGAATGGTGGCTTTTCATCATAATGTGTTTTATTATCCTCAAGAATATTCGTTGCACATTTCTTTCAATAGTCATCCAATCCGACTTCACGCTATATTAATTCTATATTAGGCTGTTCATCTATAGTGGCTCGATTCTACAATGCAGCATTTATCTCTCACTGGATGTTTTACTCCTTTGTTAGCTATTAATGGTATCAACATTCCGATAACCAAATATAAACGTCGACATCCAAGAATACATATCAAATATGGTTTGATTCTTTTCTTTCAAACAATTTAAACTACATTCAAGGGTTGAAGATAAGTATAAACAGTCAAGTTTCTACAATAATGATCCATGAACTAGAAAGCATAAAACTACTATTTCAAATATATACAAGTTTACCTTGGCGAATTTTCTTATAGGTAACGTTTTTATCACGAACTGACCGGCAAAAAAGTTTCATCTCGCTTTGAAGAAGCTAAGATCTTGACTAGGGATGACACTTTGACTTTCTCTTAAAAGCTAAAATTAAAGTAACACACTTTAAAGGTTTATCTTTAACAAAAATTAAAGGTAAAGTTGATGTGTTCAAGATATTCTCTACTCTTATGCAAACAAGACACTCTGTTGTTCGGACCATATGGGAGAGAACCTTTGCTAACCTCTAGATTGGCCAGAACATTACCGTGTTTCGTCCATACAATAGTGAAGAAAAGCCCTGCTAAAATTCGATTGGTTAGAATTTTTACCTGTCAAACAATCAAATTGCAGCAAGGTTTCTTTCCCTATTGAACGGACAAAACTTGATCCCACTTGAGGCGACCTAGCGGTTCTCAAGGGTTCACTCTCCAATGACCCGAAAAACAGAGTGGCCTGTCTATACAAGAATACACAAAGCGCTCAGCATATTCATTTTAACTTTTCTATTTTTAAAGTTGAACCTATCAAGTGTCTTACTCTAACTAGTTCATTATAGTGTCCTTGAGGGCAACCCCCTCTTTTTCCGGGTTTCTCAAAGACGAACCGCCCAAAAATGATGAAACTGTTGGGCTACATAGATCTCGACTAGAAGAGTAAAAGTTGCCATAGACTCAGAATTTCCAGATGCTTTCTTTTATGAGATATAGGGAGCACAGGTAGCAAAAATGATCTGAAGTTTTCGCCATCGCAAAGAGCCAAAATTCATCATTTATGGCTGACTATTTCTTTTGTGGCGACTACAGCCGAAGTGAGGTGTATATATTTTTATTTTGTTAGAAAAATATTGTTTTCTCCGCTTAGGAGAACTGAAATACTAGAAACTCTGTCAAAAAACG